TTTGTTTGTTGCAAGAATTTTTCCTTCTTTTTATCTTAGTTGATTATTTGACGTATAACTTGGTATGTTCCATGGAGCTAATTGCATACAATGTATGTGTGTGTGTGTGTGTGTTGGATAGGTACGAACGTTAAAAAACTCCATACTAATAAATAAAAGATACCATGCGTCCCCATGCAATACATGCTATAGTCACTTTGCGACTCCTTATAGGCCGAATCCAAAATTGTATGGAGCAAGAAGAAAACACCATACACCGATTTCAGAATATTCGGTAAAAAATTACAGGAAATCTGTGAAAAATCACCGAACTGTTAACCGAACGTTTAGCTGTTGAGATTTCGGTAAAATTTCACAGATTTCGGTGAAATAATCTTATACCCCGGACAGACTATGGCTTATATCATGTAATATAGGCTGTCTTGCAATGAGCACTCATACATCTAGTTTTCACTGGAAATCCTATGTATGAGTGCTCATTGCAAGACAGCCTATATTACGTGATATAAGCCATAGTCTGTCCAGGGTATTAGTGTGTGACCTTTACATGTAGTTTTAACGAAAGTCAAACTATTGTCTTAAGCGAACCCACACGGTAAGAAATATTGTCAATACTTAAAAGTATTGACAATAATATTGATGATGTGAATACAGATATATTGTCAATACCAATGTATTGACGTCAATATAAAATGAATTGACAATACGATTATTATCAATACAAACAGTCGTGTAGAGTCCACATTAATTCGACACACATTGATATGTGTATTGTGGTATTGTTCGATACAAGTAGGTAACCAGCGAAAGATTTGATGAAACTGACACAATTTTCCCTTCTTTATATCAAAGCTCAGTCTTTATGCTCATTACAATCAGATATCAATTTGATAAACCGCCAAATGTCATAACAAGTCATAACCACAAACTTTATCTAGGGTGTTGAACGACTTTGTTCTGTTGATCAATATTCAGCAAAGATATTTTTCTCAATTTCATATAGATAAGTTGTAACAAACCCAAGGATCATATTTAAATAGATCGCACAGTGTAAATTGTATCTTTCGGAGAAATAGTTTTCGGGAAAACGTTCCTTTCGGGGAACTGGTTCATTCGGGGATAAAACTTTCGAGGAAAGTGTTTTCGGGGAACTGGTTTTCGGGGAAAAGTCGTACAATCGAACCCTGCGCTTTGGTCAGATAAGAGATGAACTAGCCTATGGCTAAAAATCTCTATAATAAAGGAAAAAAAAAAAAAAAAGCTTTGGTCAGAGAGCGTATAGGGCGTCGTTGTGCCAATTTGGTCGTGGCACATTTCGAGTATGAGAGAGTGATTGCAGTTAGATCAAAAGTGCCTGAGAAAAATGCAAGAACTTTCGTGGATTACCCGGAGTTGCGATAGTGAAGGTATGATCACAGACAAGCAGACATAACATGCTTAAGATGTTCATTGAAATCGCTTTTAACGGTCTATTTAAATGTTGCTTAGTTGATAGCCACTTGCGGCGTGTATAATCAATTCCCTTGCGTTTTACGTTTCCACGCTACAGTCATCTGTTGAGTGTAAACAACAGATGGCGGTAGTGTTTACAATGATAAATGTTCAATGTGTTGTGTCTGTTTGTCTGTGATATAACATTGAGATAACGTAAGAATAAAATCAAAACATTGAGAAATATAACGCACCACTTTCAGGAATACTTCACTTCGCAACCGATGAACCATTCTGACGGCCATATGAGTGCCAAAGTAACCATTTAGTCGCAATATAGCTTTTATTTACTTACTTTGCTTCAGTATGGTTAGTTTGGGAATCTGATGAAACTATCATTTTTCTAGATAGAGCTGGAATTAGGGCGTAACAGCTTTTGTAAACAATGACTTCTATCGATGATTTCTAGGAACTGAAGACACGCCCACGCAGACCAACATAACCATCGGATAGGGTAAGTCTTTCCCTACCTGATGAAGATGTTGGTTTGCGTGGGCGAGCCTTGAATTTCTAGAAATCATCGATAGAAGTCATTGTTTACTAAAGCTGTTAGGCCCTAATTCCAGCTCTATATAGATTTCTTGAAACTAATTCCTTTCGAATTCCATAGAGTTCTCCAGATGCACAAAAGTGTGCGTGAGACCGCGCGCTACCTTTTTAAGTAGTTGTGATATCGCGATACCTTTTTGTTTCTTCTTCTTCTTTATTTTTATGTATGGATGTTGGATTTTAGTGTTCGTGAGATTGCGCTTGGAGATCTCTATTCATTCTCTTTTCGTACTTTGCATACACTCAAAATAATCTACACGTTGAAGCTACGTGAAAAATCACGTAAGTTCTCACTTGTTCCTCTCCTCTCAGTTTTACGTTGCTCACGTAGAATGTACGTGATGTCCCTTGAATTTCATAGGGAGTTCCTGTTTGACACACCTACCTAATCAATGAAATGTACGTGATTTTCACATAACACTGAGTCTATGTGCGTTTCACGTAAAGCTTATGAGATGTCCACATGTAAACAAAAGAGTGGTACGTACACTCAGAGCGGTGCAAATCATGGCAGCATAATAATGGGCTTCGGTATTTTCTAAAGAAGGTGGCAAGATGTAAGTACAAAATTGTGGATTATTTGATTCTGTTTGACAAAAACAAACTGACTGTTTCATCACAGGTTTCATCGTACCCAACAGAATGATGTCAAGCTGTCCAGCAGTTTCTTCATCAAGGGAGAAAAGCATCTAGGCCCATCTCCATGATCGTCCAGATTTATGCTGCGTTTCGAATATAAAAAAATGCTGATGTAGTTTATTTAGTAAATTTTAATAAATTAAAGGAATATTACTATTATTACTATTAATACCGTGAAGATTGTATCTACATATTAAGGATATATTTGTATAAACAGTGTCAAATATTGATACTAGAATTCCAATGAATGTCACCGACCAAAACACGTAACTTCTATGTGATAATCCTATGGCGGTTAAGTTTCATAAAATGAGTACCCCTACATGAGAATCACATAGCTCTTATGTGAAAAGTACGATGGAAAAAACCTACGTATGTTTTCACGTAGCATTGACGTGAAAATTATTCTGAGTGTATAACACCACCTCATGCTATACTCTACATTGATTCAATGACTCATTCCAAGTGCTCGGTGGACCAGCGATTTAAGACGCGAGCCTTATGGCAGATGAAATGGAAATGGAAATTAGTGCGGATTTATCTCCCTCGGAAAACAAGAAAAACCTGGAAAAGGCGGAAGGTGAAGTGCGGAATGAAATACGAAGCGTTAGAGAAAAAGCTTCAAAAAAAAAAGCAATCGATGGTGGCAGTCCAGCGGAACATGGTGAGACCGAGCCTATTATTATTATTTATAAATTAAACATCAAAATTAAACTAAATACGCGCTAGGTTTGAAAAGAATATTTTCGAACCTGGAAGTGTGTATGTAGGGGAACTAGGGGCAAGAAGGTCACCCGGGGCAAGAGTGCCACCCTCAATATATTTTGAAAATGAAATCATTTCAATTTTATCTCACGATGAACCTATGCACGGTATTCCTATGAAGCATTCTAAAAAGTTCTGTCCGAATCGAAGTCGTAAAAAAAAATGCAAAAAATCATTTTGTGTTGATGCATTGAAAAGCTACATTTTTATTAGAGGCATCATAAAATAAGGTTTTCAGAATTTCCGATTTTTTTTTCACAATTTCTGCATTGAGACATCATTATTGATGGTATAGTTTGATACATTAATAACAATAAATTATTAAATATTTTGTTTAATTAATCAAAAATTATATTCCTGAAAATAAACTTTATATGGAGCAAGAGTGCCACCCCTACATTTATGTATTAAATTGTACAACAATGTTCAGAAATTAACACAATATGTTTCCAATATACATTGTTTTCGTAAAATTTTGGAAAACAAACTGTATAAAATAGTATCAAAAATAGTTTCCATTTGAATCTTTGACGCACATTATATGTTTTAGATATAAAAAAATATATCGTTAAGTCAATATTTTAGTGGAATAAACAATAAAAGCAGTTGCTGTCATACCTAAGAATAGTGATTTGTTGTTTAGAAATGAACATTTATCAGTTTCACTTCATTTCAGACATATGGTCTTTTTGCCCCATAAGAGTGGTCCTCTTGCCCCGTAGCATTTTTTAGAGCAGGTTCGACATGACATTTTGAAAAAATCATTAACATTTTTTGATGGGGTTTAATTTTAATTTCAATGATGATACATGGAGACAAGGTTATAAACTTACAATTCGATTCACAAACTCCTATAAATATTCACGGAATCACATATAAAAACGCGCTATCGTTAGGGTGACCTTATTGCCCCTAGTTCCCCTAATACTAATATCAACAATCAATACAAAACTAACGATTTTAAATTGGCTCACTACTTGACTAGCCTATTGGTCCCAAGTAAATCGATTAACGTACCCCCTAGTATAAATTCCAGTACTACACTATGTTTGTTTTGATTCGCTATGAAAGTTTGCCAGATAAAATGAGGGGTTCGTGGATTTTCCTATGTTTCGAGGGGTGCATCGATTAGCTTGGGACCGAAGATAGTACCAGAACTGAGCCAAAAAGTTGAACACTTTTCTTCGGGACCTTCTAGTCTTAGAGTTACCTCTATGGTACAAGCATCCAATGAATCCATAATTCCGAAAAACATTTTATATAGCTAAGTGAGTCTAAGCAACCTTACTCAATTCCTAAATCTAGGTTCCTATCCGGAATTCTTGGCCGGAATTCCTAACCAATATTCCTACCTGGAATTCTTACCTAAACGGAAATTACATCTCAAATAGAAATTTTTGCCGGAAATTCAAGTCAAATCCCTTACGTAGTTTCCTGTGCCATTTTGGCCATTGTACTGCTTTGGAAAGGACCGCTCTTCGAGCCACTGCCGCGGTGCGTCCTGGCTGGTATAATTGTGGTCTCGTTGATGGGACTACGCATGTAGCTCGCGCATTTCCGACAGTTCTGGCTACTCAGCACCGTGGATGCAATCGTTTGGATGGGAACGTTCCTGACGGTGGTCCTGGTGGCCATCGATATCGGGCTGCTCGTCGGGATGGTGCTCAGCATTTGCAGCATCTTCTTCCGCGGTATGAAGCCGTACACATGCCTGATGGAGAACGTCCCCAATATGGATCTGTACTTGGATGTTAATCGCTACAAAGCCGTAAGTTGATCCACTGAACGCCATGGGCTTCAGAGCTCTATTAATATTTTGAATTTCCTTCTAGACAATCGACATTTCTGAAGTGAAAATCTTCCACTTTTGTGGCAGTATGAACTTCGCCACCAGGGCCGGCTTCAAGGCGAGTTTGTGCGAAGTTTTAAAGCTGAATCTTATCAAGGAGATCAAAAAATCCAAACGGAAGGACTACTAAAAGCAGTTCAGCTTCAGGTTTCTGGTGTTGGATTTCATGGCCTTGAGTAACATCGATCCATCGGCGGTGTCCGCGCTGAAGGTTTTGATCACGGAGTTCGGTAAGCTTTCGGTGAAGGTTCTGGTGGCTGGATCGTCCTGCCCGGTATACGAGAGGATGGTCCAGATCGGTTCGGAAGACCATGAGTACTTTAAGATATTCTCTACCGTGCACGACGCGGTACTCTGGGCTAGGGAGACCTGTGCGAACGATTCCGCGAATCTGAGTATCGTGGAATCAGAGGAAGCGTGAGATGCGGTGATTGGTGAATTTGTTAGTTGATAGTCTTTCGGATTAACGCGGGTAACAGGTTTTAATGTTACGCTTCGAAATGTGCCTCTTTATAGTTTGTAACACCATTGCTCAAATGTTGATTGGAAAGGGGTCACCTTTCCAGTCGATCGAGGGCGAAGTTCTCAGTATTTTGATAGTGGATTAAATATTATCGGTGGAAATGATCTTTGTGCGATAGGTTTTGTTTGCTTCGAAATTCCTTTTTTTTAGTTTGATCTACATCTATCTACCTTTCCATCTTTCTACTCTGGGTGAAACAGGTAAACTACGCAAGCGAAAATAGATTTACTCTCGTTCTATACGTTATAAATTGTGTCGGAAGTAGTGCGCATTATTTACGAAGAACAATATTATTTTTTCCCTAACTATCAAAATGTCGGACAAAATGTAACCGTTAGTTGTAATCATTTATAGACTGTATTTTTAAAGCATATCTTTTAATTCCATTTTAAAAAAGTTGTTCTCGCAGTTGTTCTACCAACAATCAATACGAAACTAAAGATTTTAAATTGGCTCACTACTTGACTCGAGGGGGACGACTCTATCTACGATGCAGAAAATATTGTGTTTTGCTGTGGCTAGCTGCTCGCACGCTGAGTAGATAGAATGAAGATTGATGACAATTCTGAAGATTTCCTGCAAAAAGATGATGCGCAATGCAAGTAGATGCGCGAAATGAAAGAAGATTTTTCGAAGATTAATTCACTAGTGTGAGATTTTTTGAGCATCTACAATTGAGATTTTGATGTGTTGCCCCCCTCGACTTGACTAGCCTATTGGTCCCAAGCAAATCGATCAACGTACCCTATTCTAGTCAATATTCTAGTACTACACTATGTTTGTTTTGATTAGCTATAAAGGATGAAAGATAAAATGGATTTTCCTATGTTTCGAGGGGTGCATCGATTAGCTTGGGACCGAAGATAGTACCAGAGCTGAGCCAAAAAGTTGAGCTCATTTCTTCGGGACCTTCTGGTCTTAGCCTTATTACCTCTATACTAATATCCAATTGATAGAGGTAATACATACATACATACATACATACTTTCTAACTCCCGGACTAAAGCTGTCTACAATGACCATAAATGCGACATTGTAGAGAGAGTTCTTCCATAATAACACTGCCGGCCAGTGGGGCTTAGAGGGAATACACACACACACAGATAATGCATGGGCTAACTGTCAAAAAACCTGAAAACATCTATTGTGCGCCGGCCTTAATGCGGATGGCCCTTTACATCGTACAACGTAATATTATAATATTGCGTTGTACGATGTAAAGGGCCACCCACATTAAGGCCGGCGCACAATAGATTCGTTTTCAGGTTTTTTGACAGTTAGCCCATGCATTATCTGCCAAAAAACCCGAAAACGTATCTATTGTGCGCCGGCCTTTAGATCCGTTTGCGTTGCGTTGACATAAATTTGACAGTTAGACAATAGATTTAGCTGTCACTTTGCCGCAACGCGTCCGATCCGGATCTAATGTGCGTGGGCCTTAATTCCCAGCTAATTTCAGCACACAGATCGATGAAACAAGCTATTATCTAGCATTTTATAAGACAAACACGACAAGAAACGGCTAAGTACCCAACGTATTAACGAAAGAGAAAGTCGATTATGAAAATCGATCAATGTTAATTAGGACCTAATGCATTGTTCAGCTTGAACTATATACATTAAGGTACACCGGGGCAAGTTGAAACGGTACGTGTATCTCTTAGCGGAAGTGAATATTCCTGGGGGGGGATGTGCTGTCAAATCAGCCTACTGATCATCTTGTATGAAACTGGTTCCAAACGTAAACAAACGCTGTAGGTTTCTTATGGCTTGTTTACGTTTGGAACCAGTTATGCGAGGTAGGCGACGATTGTTCGTATTTGACAGCCATCTCCCCCCCTTGGAATATTCACTCTGTAATTATTTTTGAGAGGCATTGTGTACTACCGCAAACTACTAGATTAGAAATAATCTCAGTGATTATTCACTTCCGCTTATAGATACACCTACCGTTTCAACTTGCCCCGGTGTTCCATAATATTTGATACACCGGCATGGATTACGTCTGACCAGATATTACTTTGTTTTTTTTTTTTTTGCTGTGTACAACCGTGTCGGGCTGTCTTCAAATCTTCGACGTTCGACCTTTCCAAGGTTCAACAAAAACAGTGCATCATCATCTTTACCACAATCTACAACAACACTGTCGAAATGGCCGATAAGAAGAAGGCTCTTTTCATTTGCCTAGGTAAATTCCATCGAATAAAATTAGCAAACTAACTCGTAACAGCAGCGACCTAATAATCCACCTCCGCAGGAAACATCTGCCGTTCGCCGATTGCGGAGGCGGTCTTCCTGAAAACGATCGGCGATGCCGGCGTTGCCGATCAGTGGGAAGTGGACAGTGCTGCCATCGGTGGGTGGCACGTTGGCAACCAGCCGGACCACCGAGCGCTGGCTACGATGAAGAAGCACGATCTCCCGTACGACAACCGCGCGCGGCAGATCAAAAAAGACGACTTCAACCACTACGACTACATCTTCGGTATGGACGAGGAAAACATGTCCGACCTGAAAAGCCGAGCTCCGAAAGGATCCAAGGCGAAGCAACTGTTCTTGGGCGATTATGATACGGAAGCCCCGGGGAAGATAATCCGCGATCCGTACTACGATCAGGGTTCCGATGGGTTCGAACAGTGCTACGTGCAGTGTGTGCGCTGCTGCGAGGGATTTCTGAATAAGGTGCAAAAGGGTGATATTTAAGCTTGTGTACAATTAAAGACGTCATTCAATGTGATAGTTTTAAATGCTAGTTGTTCTACTTTATTTTTGATAATGTAAAAATCGACGCGCTTAAATATTGATATTCTATTGCCTACTCATCGATGGAAACCCGATAAGCCCTCCAGAGGGCATCGGCATGGCCAGTGCTGCTCCGTTGAATCCGCTCATTGGAGATGGTTGTTGGTGATGTTGTTGTTGTAGTTGCTGTTGTTGATGCAATGTGGAGTGGGATTGTGCGTGAACTGGGAAATGTGGCGGTTCGGGAGAGCCAATTGTTGCAAACGATGCCGTCGTAGCGGGACTTCCCAGATCCGACACGTGCGTCAGATCACTCTGGTTAGTACGGTCATGTTCGGGTATTGCCATTTGTTGTATTATCGGTGCTATGGAAGGATGCACAGGAAACTCCACCGATGGTGCTAGATGGCCTTCTGGCTGCTGACCAACCACGGCACGATTCCGCCTGGGGTTTGATGCATGCTCTCCACTTTCGGTTTTCTTTTTCCTTGAACTTTGCTTGTACAGCTGAACACCCTCGACCACAATTCCATGTTTGCGTATTTTATGCTGTGTTAACATGTAGTTGAATCTAAAAATAAATGTATAAATGAAGATTTGGCTACAATTTTAAGAATTTGTTCTACTCCAATTACCTATAATCCGCACCGCAGATGTCACAGTAGACTCGATCTCCGGTATGCTTCATGACATGATAGCGAAGCTGGTTGGGCCTAGCAAATGCTTTGTCGCAGTAGGTGCACTTGTGTTTGTAGGGGTTATCATCGTGCAGCAGCATGTGCCTTCGAAGACTTTTCCGCCAGCGGCACTTAAGCCCGCAGACGTTGCACACAAAGTCCTTCTTCTCGTGAATCGATTCTATGTGGATCTTCAGCTGCTGCTTGACGTAGAACCGCCGATCGCAGATAGGACAAACGATGTCCTTCTGCTGGGTGTGCGTCATCATATGCACGTTAAAAGTGGCACTACTCGAAAGGATTTTGCCGCAAATTTGGCAAATCTGCTTGCACAGGGAAGCGGGTTTATCGTCGGTAGCCTTCTCGCGCTTCTCTCTTGGCTTTCGAGCCCCTTTCGAAGGACGAGGATCATCTTTTCTCGGACGACCACGCCTTTTCTTAGGCTTCTCTTCCACTAGAGCAGCACCCTTATCATCGCCCTCAAATTTCACCGAAATATGTTTTCGTGATTTAACCATTTGTTCTTCAGGATCGTATTCGTCATCATCGTCATCATCATCATCATCATCATCGTCATCGGATCCAGAGCGACTATCCGACCCGGAGAAACCTCCGAAATCCTTTGGCACTTCAAAATCCGAATCAGATTCCATTTCATACGGTTCCATCTTCACATTCAAATCTCCTTCCTCTTTTTTACTATCAACACCAACCGGTGTCATTTCATCATCTGTCTCCGTTACCTCATTTATAATATAATTCACATCATGACTTTTCTCGTCCTTCTCAAGTCCAACCACCAGATAATCCGCAAGAAGCTCGCTGGAAGTCTCTTCCACTTCCCTCTTTATCGTAGGCGAAGCCACTTCCTCAGCTTCCGGTTTCCTTTCTTCTTTCTCGTCCCTATCAACAATATCGTTCTCCTTCTCGGTAAATATATTCACCAACTTCCCTTGTGCGCCGCTACAGGTTCTCACAAACTTTATCAAGAACTTCATCATATGAGAACACGCATCACAAACCCCGCTGGGAAGCATCTCGTAGTCACGGCTCGATTCTAAACAAATCTCTAGCAGCTTGGCCGTATCACTGCACTTCATCATCTTCTCCAGGCTATGCTTCAACGGCTGCGGTTCCATCTTTGCACAGAGTCTACAGTAACTTGGTGCACCGACACTGCCGCCACTTCTTTCTCCTTCCTCGCCTTCCTTCGGATCCAACTTCACCGCCACTGCTGCCACCACTCCAACCAATGGCACTGCATCCGGTGAAATCAGTTTCACTGGAACCGCACCCCGATCGATTTCCTCCTGCATAAAGTGCTTCTCACATACCTTAGGATCGGGAATATGTTTGCAGTTGGCACGGAATCCCAGTGCTTTGTTCCATGCCCGTATCATTTCGCGATCATCGGTCGGAAAATCGAAGAAGCAGATCTCGACTGCATCGGTGGTTGAACTGCAGTTCGGCACCAGACACTTCTGTATAAATTTATCCATTGTGCTGTCACTAGTAGTGGTCGCTCATCTCCGGAGGATCATCAACACCGGGAAATTAATCCGAATTGTTTAAGCACTAGAATGGTTTGTTTACACCAAAATAGAAGCCAAAAGTGTTGAGTGCTATTTTTCTCACTCTTCTGCAGTAAATGACAGATACATATTCAAGCTTCAAATGCATCTGCAGTTTGAAGGATGCAACGAAAATGCATTGCATGTTGATGGCATTGGCCATCTGGTGGCGGTGTTTGATATTGCTTCAATATAAAAATCGAAATGAAATCGTACACTCAAAAAACATTCAATATTTGAATGTTTCAACGATTTAATCTAAATTGATTAAAGAAAATGGAAATCTAAAGTGGGTTGTACGACACTGTTCGCAGAATGGCCCATGAAGCGGAAAACAACTTCGATGAGTTTCATTTGGCAGAATAAACCGTTTCGCGGTACATATTTCGTTTGATGGCAAGTTAAAATCTGAATTAGGGCCAATTTCAACACCTGCGCTTAACCCTTAATCCAGTTTTATCTATGGATAAATCGGTTTAGGTTGATTTGATTTCATTATTATAGAGGCTTTCACCCGTTGGCTGGTTCGTCTCTGAAAAGATAGAGTGAGGTCCAGAAGGGACCTCATCTAGTTACAAAGTTTATTTATTTATTATAATTTGTCTCTCCTTTTTTATTATGTTAGGAGGTCTATAAGAGGCCTCCTCTAGTTAAGTACTGAGGCTGTCAATGTGCTGTCTTTCTTCAGAGTTTTGATTGTTAAGTTGCTGAGGATCTTGCTTTGGTTTGAGATGTTGGATGATAAGAGAAAGTTCATTGGTATTGCGGTAGTCGGGATTTTGGCAAGTTTCATATTTGATCGAAGAGGAAGCCCATTAATGCTGTGATTCTAGTCGGGTCGGTACTCAGTGCTTGCCGGTATGCCGTAGTACAGCTCTCGTAAGCCTTCGTATTGAGTACAGTGGCAGCATATGTGTTCCACTGAACAGTTGGTGCGGCAGAGCTTGCAAAATTTCCGGAACGGCCCGCTCCCTGAAAAGTTATGCGAGACTCTGGTATGGCATGTTCTGAGTCTTGCCAGGACAACCTGAGTTCGGTGGTCAGGGGGTCTTCCCATCTGCGTGTGTCAGCTTTCACCTTTACCGGTTTAGGATTTAAGCGGAGGTGAAAAAATCGGTCTTTAAACAATTAGGTGTTTCATGATGTGTCTGACAGCACTCACCACCAGAGGGCGAGCCGCCTTTGAACCCGAATGGAAAATCGACTTGAGAATGTATGGCGAAGTTCGATTTTAATTAAACATATCAATAATGGTGCAATTTGTTCGAAATATTATTTCAGTACCAACATTTCGATGGCTTTAGCAGTCGATTTCTCGCGAATAAAAGCTCACTCATGAAAATACATGACACCAAAAAAAGTTCCTAAACAAGGTAATCATAATCCTTGACAAACAAGTGAACTCCGTATGTTAAAGTCTTCCAAAAGAGCCGCGCTAAGAAAATACACCAAGTTCCACACCCTACAACTCAAGGACCATTATGCGAGGATCAATGATGCGTATCAACGAACCAGTCACCAATGTTATCGGCGTTATCAACGAGATGTTCAACGGAAGCTTCGATCTCACCCGAAAACTTTTTGGAATTATGTGAATGAGCAACGAAAGGAGTCTGGCCTTCCATCGACTATGGTACTGAACGGCGAAGAAGCTTCATCCCCTCAGGACATTTGCCGTCTGTTCTCAACCAAGTTTGCGAGTGTATTCTCTATGAAAACCTACCTGACGAGCACGTTTCACTAGCAGCCAGTAATGTTCCAATGTCTGGTCAATCTTTGGCAGCTATCAACATCGACCTCGCTATGATAACTAGGGTGGCTTCAAAATCAAAAAAAAAATCAAAATCAAAATCAGATTGACCGCCCACGGCTGCTGCTCTGTTATTACCAGATCAGCTGCAATTACACAGAGAACCAACAGATGATGTTTGGGACTTAACATTCATCCTCAATGTGTAAGAACTGGAGATCTAATATTTAGCAATACCAGCGCCGGCCGTGTCCGAATGCAGGTCAACTAGGGAATGGGAAGGAATGTGTTGACGTGGTACTCGCTGTGAATGAAACCGAGAAATCCTCTGCGCTTCCACGAGAAATCACTGGGATGTTGGATGTGGGGAAAGGTCACGATGGAAAATGAACAGGTGGGCAGGAACTCACAGTCTCCCAGTGTTGGTGAGTTCTTTGCCGTTAATGTTCACGAAAAGTTCACTATTTTGCTATACAGAAATTCAAAACAAAAATTTTATCTGCGGATTTGAACAGTTTTTGACCTGTTTCATACTACCGGAAGGTGTATGCTGGTCACAAATGCCGTGCCAAACTGATTTCCTACTCAATTAATCAATCTTTGATGTGAAATTCGCTAATAAACACGAGGCGCATTTCGTATAGCAAACATGCCATAACAAAATGGGCATGGTTCATTTAAGTAAACAAACTAACACTTCTTCCGACTGTTACACCTATGTATTAGCCGTCTCGGGGAAAGGTTGCACACGCACACGCCGGGATCGTTTTTGGTAGAGCGATTATAATACACAAACACACACACACACGCGCGCGCGCGCACTCATCCAATTTCTATTTTTAGATCAGGACCCACACTGTGGTAAGTGATGCGATCGGTGTTAAAGAAGAATTTGTTTTCATTAAAATCTAGCGGGTATAGAATAAGGCAAAGTGAAAAATTGCAAGGAAGGGGACGGGCCTGGGATTGAGCTCCCGACCTTCTGCTCAGTAAGCAGAAACGGTAACCACTGAGCTACCGAGCCTCGTCCTATGATAACTAGGGTGGCTTCGCAACTGAAGTCTTCATTTAAGCCTGGACCTGACGGAGTTCCTTCCGTCTTTCTCCAGTGGGGTGTTTCCTTCCTGCTGGAAATCAGCTGAGATGTTTCCAGTGCATAAGAAGGGATGCAAAAGAAACATCGACAACTATCGCGGCATCACATCGTTGTGTGCCATATCTAAACTGTTCGAGTTGGTCCTTTTGGAACCATTAGTCTCTCACTTCAAGCAGCACTTGAGCGAAGACCAGCATGGTTTCATGGCAAGGCGGTCGACTACTTCCAACCTTTTGTGTCTCACCTCGTACATTACGGAGAGTATGACCACAAACGAAGTGACAGACGGAGCGGCTCGAAAACTTTGGTGACTAACCTGCTATTGCAATTTTTCAGTGTACCACACGGCAACACCACTACTACTGGATTGTATCACATGGCAACACTACTACCATAGAGGTAACTCTAATGGTGGTAAGCTCCAACCGGTATTATCCTCGGATTAAATCCCGATCAAGAATGTCCGGCTGGTTTGATGTCGACATCAGAGTTAATCAACATAATTCTGAGCAAACATTTTTCAGATCATACAAACAGGGACGGTATTAAAAGTTAATCCGAGTTGGAGCTTACCGCCATAAGACTAGAAGGTCCCGAAGAAATGTGCTCAACTTTTTGGCTCAGCTCTGGTACTCTCTTCGGTCCCAAGCTAATCGATTCACCCCTCGAAACATAGGAAAAACCAATAACCCCTCATTTTATCTGTCAAACTTTCATAGCAAATCAAAACAAACATTGTGTAGTACTAGAATTTTGACTAGAATGGGGTACGTTAGTCGATTTGCTTGGGACCAATAGGCTAGTCAAGTAGTGAGCCAATTTAAAATCGATAGTTTCTTATTGATTGTTTAATTTGGCGTGGTAATATGGATGTGTGTAATGTCTGCAAGGAGTCTATTACTATTAGTGGGCTCCCAGTCACATGTGTAGGTCCGTGCAATGGAATGTTCCACTTCAATTGTGCGGCACTCACTAAGACTGCGGCGCGCCTAATAGCAGATAATGCAAATGTTGTTTTCAAATGTGGTAACTGTCTATCAGGTCAGTGTTGTGGCGAGCAGAATGATCTGATCTCGCGCGTCAATAGGATAGAAGAAGAGATGAAGAAAGTTTTTCAACTCTCGGACTCTATCACTGGCATCCGAGATCACATTGCTGCTCAGATAGACATCGCGGTTAAAAGCGGGATGGCAGATATAAGCCGAAATGTAAATGGTTTTGAAAATTTAATTAGTGAGAAATTGGATAATATGAAAAGTTCATTTTTTAAAATTGATGCGGAAAACAAATTAGCGGTAATGAATGATCAGTGCAGTGTATCTAGGACGATTCAGTCGGAATCGGACCAAAATACCAGACGCAAAAAACGTAAATTAGTAATCAGTAATAGTGATAATGATGATGTTTTTCAAGAAAATGCGAGTTTTGCGGATGTTGTAAAAAGAAACAGTCGTGCTAGTAAAAGTAAACATGTTAGTAACAGTAACAGTAAAAATAACAGTAACAGTAACAAACAAGATAATCGTAAGACTCGTCCGGTCATTGTGATTAAACCGAAAGAGTCCAAACAAGCTTGCGAAGACACTCGTAAGTTTTTGAAAACTCAGTTGGATCCAAAAACACACAAAATCAGTAATTTTAGAAATGGTAAAGATGGCTCCATTATTGTTGAGTGTGCAACAGGAGCAAATGTAAGTGATGTCAAAAATGGTATTGAAAGCAATCTGGGTGAAAACTATAGTGCTGTTGTTCCCACTTCAGTGCCGAGATTGAAAATAGTGGGCATGAGCGATCAGTATTCCTCCGATGTCTTCATTGACTATTTAAAAAGTCAAAATGAAGACATCGCTATAAATGATGTAAAAGTAGTTAACATGTTTGAAAATCCACGCTTCACGTACAACAAGTTCAGTGTTGTGATTGAAGTCGATTTCGATACGTATAAATGTTTGTTATGCGCGAAAAAAGTAAATGTAGGGTTTGATCGGTGCTCTATAGTTCCCGCGATTAATGTATTGAGGTGTTTCAAATGTGGAGAATTTGGGCACAAGAGCATGGATTGCAAAAATTGTGAGAGATGCTCTAGGTGCAGCCAACAACACAAAACATCGGAGTGTACGTCAACTGTATTGAAATGTGTTAATTGTTTGAAAATGAATAAAGAACGTAAAATGAACTTGGACGTCAACCATGCCGCA